TCTTCAACTTTGTAAGTTCTCACACTTTCACTGGGTACCTATAGTTGAGCATGTAATACATACTAAATAAAACATTTTATGGTAAGTCATTAGCTAATTTCATCTATTGACAGTCAGACGATATGAAATGTTTGACCTTAATTATATGTAAAAGTTTCCTCAGAACTAATTCTAGAATGAAGAAAATATTTTGAAAATATATGTTACAATTTTGAACCACCTCTTGCAATTCAGCTCATGGTGAGCTCTTCATGGAAGAAGTATAATATATAAAAAAATACAGGCTTTAAATATAATTAAAAGACTCTATCATTTCACCATGTTTTCTGGTGTGCAGTCAAGTAAAATAAATAAAAGAAACAAGTCAGTATGGAAGTTATTGTAAATCTCACTGTTCTTTCTATTTATGAACACTTGTTTTTGTTAAAACACAATGACATCTTCACCTTTACCTCTATGTGAGCTAGAATCCAGCACTTAATCATCAGGACCAGCTCCTGGTAAAAGTGTAGAAGCAGAGCGCACCTGACAGAATTCTGAGTGCAATGGCTCTCTGAATCATTCCTATTTCTCTACCATCAAATCTTTTACAAATCTTTAGCTGTTTTCTCTCATTGCCCCAAAACTTTTTATTTTTTCACTAGCAAATGAAGTCTACAGAATTTTGACAGAAAACCAAGGTATAAGCCTAATCAAAAGAAGACTGATTACTTTCTTGACATTCTGTAAAAGGAGCAATAGCATATTAAGCAGTTAAAAAGCTTTTCTTATCCTTTTATTTTAAAAACAAACCTGTAATTGGATCACTTGGTTTTAACAGCTCCTTTGATTTAGAGAGGCAGATTCATTATAATTGGTATGTATAAATTCATGTCAAAGAGAAACTTATTAAGGATTATAGTTTGCAATTGGCCAATATAAAATATTTTTTTATTAATACTGAGATTTTTTTGCGGAATGTTTTTTTGTTTGTTTTCTTTTGTTTTAGTACGTGCCCTTAGTGGGAACCAAACCCGGGATTCTCTAGTCCGCAGGCCAACGCTTCAACCGCTGAACCAAACTGTCCAGGGCTTAAAATTGTTTAACACTAAGATATTGTAACTGGGGACTTGAATCATATTTTAAAGATAGATAAAGTTGCCACAAAATAGAAGAATCCTTCCAATATATTATTCCATTTAACATTGGGAAACCATAGCCGACTCTGAGGATGCAAATAATTTACATATTATTTGTGGAAAAATAGCTCTCAGTATACAATAATAGAGAGTAATTTCAAAATCTAAATAAAATAAAATACTAATTTTTAAAAATGTTAATATTATATAGCCTTCTCTAGAGTTTGAAGCTATATTCATGTCTACACATTCATATCATTTCTAAATTGTATAACTATGTCCATTTAAATGCTGTACTATTTTTAAGGGAGATTTATATACTACATTTTGCACTGAATTTTGGGGGACTTTGGCAAAGCTAAATCAATATACCAAAGCAAAATTTTAGGAATAGCTGTTTTTAAACAAAATGAATCAAAAGGCAATAAAGTATCCATTAGGAAGTCAAACATATAATCTTCTAATTTGGACTTCTAAATCCGAAGATTAAAGTTGCTTTTCATTTACCGATACCAGTACACATACTATTGAGGCAGCTGGCAGATTAGCTCTCCTTCAGTGCTCCCTGCCAACTGTCCGTCAGAGAGAAAGGTAATGGCCTCTTGGGACTTCAGTTACTCCATCTAAAAACATTCTAAGACTTTGCAGAGGTTTTAGAGAGAAAGAACTCTACATTTCATATTTCCCATTATATTTGATGTACAGTTTAAAGAACTTTCTAATTCAGAGGATCTTTGTGATCCTTTTATTTTTCATTGCCTGGAAATCACCATACTACTCATATATGCTCTGGTTTTATCATTTGGTCTTTATTTTCTATTTTTTTTATCCTCACCTAAGGACATTTTTGCATTTATCTTCAGATAGAGCGGGAGGGGGAGAGAGAGGAAGAAACATCGGTGTGAGACAGACACATCGACTGGCTGCCACCCACACGACCCCAACCCTGGCCGGGGACAAACTGCAACTGAAGTACGTGCCCTTAGCGGAAACTGAACCCATCACTCTCTGGTCCGCGGGCCAATGCTCTAACCACTTAGCCAAACCGGCCAGGGCCATTTGGTCTTTAATAGCAGTATGTTAGGAAGTAAGAATCAACTACAAACTCCATCAGTATATCCACAGACAATTTTGTTTCAAGCAAAAATGGATTTAAAAAAGAGATGGATTTAGCACCACCATCACCACTCATGTTATGAACAACTAGAAAATGAGACAAAATATGGAAAACAATGGCCTAGGAAGAGGCATTATAAGCTCGAGGCCTCTGTGACAAGGAAAACAGACAACGGGACCTCAACACTCACCAGCTTCCTTCCTTCCTGTGGGTAGTTTTGAGGCAACAACACAGTCAAGCAGTCATCCTAAGTTGGAAAAGAAGAGATCATAATTCATGTAAACCAATTAAGACAGAATCTGTGGAACATGGTACCACAAAAGAAGGAGCTATACAAAGAAAGAACTACCGAGATCTGCACTGGGGGCTCCCGAGACTGGCTAGCTGCGTATCTGTCCGCAGGAAAGGAAATGGCCCAAGGCCGTGGAAAGAACCACAGAAAGAACTCGTCAGAAAACACCTGTGCGCACAACAGGCTGGAGCAGTTGGTCTTCCCACGAGCCAAACTGGGGGAAATGCAGAGCAAAGCAGAATCCTCAGGAGGGTATTTATGTCAAGGCACAACATAATCAAATTGCTGAAAACTGGTGATAAAAAGAAAATCTTAAACTCATCCAGGAAAATAAGTTACATTGTGACACATATACAGAGCAGTAAGGAGAAAGGGTGACCGCAGACTCCTCATCAGAGACAACACAAACCAAATACATTGAAATATAAAGGAAAACTGTCTACCTATAGCTCTTTACCAATGGAAAATATTTTTCAAAACTGATAAATATGCATTTCCAAATGAACAAAACTAAGAGAATTCATTGCCAACAGAACTGCTGTCCAAAAATGTTAAAGGGAGTTTCTTAGAGAGAGCGAAAAGAACACAAGATAGAAAGTTAAACCTTCACAGAGGATTGAGGAAAGTCAGAAATGAAAAATGTGTGGGAAAATGTTAAAGACAATTTTCTCATTTTTAAAAACTATTTTCAAAATATAATTGACTTTAAAGCAAAAATGATAACAGTCTAGTTTGGGATTTACGCCATATGTGTAAGTAAAATATAGATAATAATAGCACAAAGGATAAAGAGATGGAAATGTTCTGCTGTAAGGTTTTTATACTACACGTAAAATGTACAATATTATTTGAACGCAGATTGCAATAAGTTAAAGGTACATACCATGAACCCAAGAGAAAGGAATAAAAAACAAAACAATGCAAATAAAATATAATTGTAAAAAATAGTCAATCTCAATAAAAGAAAAGGAAAAAGGAACAAAGAACAGTTGGTAGGACAGGCTCTACACATAGAAAACAATAAACAATTTTATACACACATCAATAATAATAATAAATAATGCAACCTGTCACTTATATGCCAGTAAAAGTTTTAAGTACTTTATAGATATATCTAAAGTCATTTAATCATCACAACACTAGTACGTAAACACCATTATTAACTCCATTCTACAGATACAAACCGTAGGCACATACTCAATGGTAAGGGTAGATACGATAAGATAATTTAGTAATTCTGAATCAGAAAGAGAAATCAGGATTGTGGGTAGCCTTGGGAATTTGTCATGGAAAAGATAAGCCTTAAGCCAGCTCTTGCAAGGTCTATGCTTGATGACTACCAAGTATTTCACACTAGATGTCACAACCTAGTATCAGAGACCTAGCACTTCATCTGAGTAATTTAAATCAATTATTCAGCTGTTTCAACAAACATTCATTGAACACCTACTATGTTTTAGGCTCTGGGATCACAGAGATGGACATATTGTATACATGTACTCTGAGTACTCACCCCCCCCCAAAAGCTTGTTATCTAGTCAGTTGTGTGAGTGTATTTGGTGTGTGTGTGAGTGCACACATGCATACACACACATGTGCATGTGTGTAAACCAATTAGAGAGCAACTGAGTTTAGGTTGATGAGTTCAGGAAGCAGGTGGCTGGTGTGAATTACCCAAAGATGCCTTTATGAAGGAGATGCCCTGCAGCGGAATATTGAAAACCAGTAGCATGTCCACATAAGTAAAGAAGGAAGAAGAGCATACCAGTTGTGAGAACAGGATAAGAAAGACGTAGGTGGAAATAAACAGGGTCAGCTTAGCTAACAGTAGGTAATGTTAGAGGAAAGCTGAAGACAAAGCTGAGCACGTAAAGGGGGAAAGAGAGACACAAATTGAGGCATGAAAATTAACTTGAATCCTAGATTTTTATTGAGAAAACAGAACTGGTGTTTCATCCCCAAATTCTAACTAAACCATTCTGTTTTACTTAGACAGGAGAAAGGGCATAAATACAAGGAGTGCAGAGAATTCCTAAAACAATTGAGAAAAAGGTTGCAATAATTTAACATGCAGGTAATGTCCTCAGAACTCAGAGATATCAATAAAAATTAAAATAGAGAAAAAATTTACTTTAGTCAAGAGTCTGTTGATTTTTCTAAAGACAAAAGCTTCTTGAAGCAATTAATAAACATGCATCACGGATGTCACCAAACATCACCAAACTGTATAGAAAGGAACCTTACACCAAAGAGTAAGCAGTATAATCACTGATACTCTCAGGGGCTGGTAAGCTGCCTACTCTGCTCAAATGACAGAGCACCAGACCTTCACCGTGCCCGGGCAATATTCCCGCTGCATTTTGTCAGCACATCAGCAAATGTTCACAGTGACAGGAACGCAGCCCAGGAGTATAGCCTTACCCTCCTCATTCATGGCTCAGTCATCTCGGTGCAACGTGGCTCTCCTCTCCTGGCTCCCTCCAATGGCCTCAAATGCCAGTTCAACAGCTTCATCATCTCTGCATCTAAATCTGGACCTAGGTATCAAGTTTGGATGTTGGATGAGACTACTTAAGTACTTTGCAGAAGTGTGAAGAAATCAGTCCTAGAATGGAAGGAAAAAGAGTAAATCCCCAGAGGTGGATTTGACACAGTTCCTGTCCCTACTGAAGTTCCCTAAGATCACAACTGAAAGAATAGCCGACCACAAACTGAAGGGCTGTGTTAACAGCAGGAAACTGAAACTCAACTCACAACTCTTCCCACACAAATATAGTATCCACCACAAACTCTGAAATCGTCATATCACTGCGTATGCCACCTACTGTCCACAGGAGGTGTATGTTAACATTAGGTGAGCCCAAAGGTGACATTTTTCTGCAGTGACCTTTCAAAGGCTTCTGGTTAGCTTTGGCCATTTATTACACCAGGGTTCCTAGTATGATTCCTCTTTCTACTTCAGGGCATACCCAAGAAAGTATAATTATGGACTTATTTTATTGTGGTTAAACTCCCATTTTGTGAATTATTCTCAAGTACTTTGAAACTGCAAACTGTTCCCCAGGATAACTCTTTCTCAACACTTAGCATACAGCTGACTTTCACCCTCCCTTCTCCCTTCTCTCCTCCCTTACTGGGGTGTAGACTCTCTATATATACATTCTAATAGCATTGTTTGCTGCATGAAATATAATTGGGAAGAAAGGGTTAGACCAGAAATGCATCAAAATTGCTCATAACACTAACATTTGAGTGGCTTTAGAATTGCTTCCTTTTGTAGATTCACCCTTTCCCTCCTTCATCTTGCAACCACAGAGCGGGAGAAAATAGAGATGTTCATGAATAATTAAAAATCAGCCTAATAACAGAATATAACAGAAATAAAAATTAATTCCCAGGATTATTTACCCAAGAGTCCCTATTTTCTTCCAAGCAGTCTTTAGAGTATAAACCCAAGCAAGCCACTTCTAGACAAGAAGTGTGAAATTTTTGAAGATATGAACTTTCATATAGGAATAATTCTTTCAAAGCACTTTTTAGACTTACATTACTGTCTTTGAGGCAAACTTTTTCCATACCAGGCAAAACAGAAAAATTGAGCAATTAGATGAGGTTGGGTTTACAAGTATGAACATGGGACAGTTTTCTTAGTTCATCATGGAGTTAGATTTGCCAAACTGCCATGCGATACTTAGGACATGCTCAAAATGTACTCGTTGTTTATAGGAAACTCAAATTTAACTAAGTGTCCGGTATGTTACAGGGCACCCTACTTGAAGTGAAACAAAAAACCTAGTTGGGGAAAATAACTAGGCTCCTAGCAGAATGGGAGTCATTTTTATGGAAATGGTGAGGTTGCAAAGCCCAATATCAAAGCAAAGCCCAACACTGTAAGCATTCAAATGATACTTGGCATATATTTAATACTTTAAAATGTGTAAAGCCTTCCACATATGGTAAATGTATTATCTGGACCCCCCTCATCACAATGCTTGTGTGAGTATTCGTACGCCTGTTTCAAGGCTTACCGATGAAGAACATGCCTTGGTGATGCACACGAAGCTGCAAAGGAAAGTTAAAACTTAAATCCTTGTCTCAGTAGGATGGAGTGCTTACAAATAAAGAAAATGTCTATATAGACATTGCACAAGACATTCCATCCCTGAGCTACAGATGAAAATTAAATATCTGACAAACCCAGGATAAAACTAATATTGCAACCTAAACCAGGAAAAAGATATTCTCAGAAAGAGCCACTGAGCTGCCTCACATCCCTTCAGACTGTAAAGACCAGTTCGGTTTTTTAAAGCAACAAAACATTCATTTTATTTCCTCAAACACTGTGAGACAATTATCTTCTGATGTGGGTTCATTCATATGTACCCAAGGTTTCTAAATCCCACCCACTACTCTTTGTAAGCCATTTATATGTCTTACAGATCTTTAATGAAATCACAGGATAATCCACATCTGTTTAACTTAGAGTCATTTCCCCTAGATCTTTAGATTTCAAATTTAGAAAACGTTCTTGTAATAATTCTTTTGCTGTTAACTACCAGGGTCTTTTTAAATTGTAGAGTAGCGACAGCTGGCGTTCATACTGTGTATTACACTTCTCCTCAGCAGTTTTTATAGTTCACCTGTAGTCCTCAAATTCGAGTGTTCATAAACATTCCCTGAGGAGTTTTTTAAAATGCAGCGCCTTAAGCCCCTCACAGACTCTGACGCTATATGTCTGGGTGATTACATTATATAAGCCCCCAAGCTGCCGTTCCTCTTCTACCTCCCGGTCAATCTCATTCAAGAGAACTTGATTGTGCATATGAATCATAGGGATCTTGTTAAAATACAGGTTCTGGGGGCAGTGGTTTGGGGATGGAGCCAGAGATTCTGCATTTCTTCCAAGCTCCTGAGTAGCTTTATGCCCCCATTTAAATCCTAAGCATTTCTACTTATTTATGTAGCCAGATCACTACAGCTTGAAGGCTGAGTTTACAAAATGTGACTTATAGATGTTTCTCAGTGCTCACACTGATTTTGTTTAAATCTTCACTGCTCTGTCTACAAGAATCCTGAAAGACAGTCACAGTCACCTCAAAAGAAGTAGCTCAGGACAAAGCAGGCCGACATCCTGATGAAAGTTTCTCCTAAACCCATTTCTGTTCCTTTCTAGAACAAACCATTTTCTGGTACCAAAAAAGCAGAAAGGCCCAGGGCAGTATCACCCCTATAAACACTGTGCATGTATGTGGGAACCAAAGCTCCACACAGTATCATCACTTTCCTGCACGAATGGAATTCAGAGCAGTTCAATGATGATGATGATGATGATGTTCGTGGTGGTAATGAAGATGATAGCTAACATTTATTGCGCACTTCCTAAGTGCCATGCGTTGTGCTAAATTCTTTACACGGATTACTGCATACAATGAAGATGATATCATTGCCTCCATGGTAATGATCAGCAGAGAGACAGAGAAAAGAGCAGTGTCCTATCTAATATCACAATTAAAGTCCAGTGATAGACTTGTGAGTCATAAACTAAAACCAAAATATTACATTGAGGGATCCTCTTCTATTATTTCTCTATGCAGTCTACACATTTTAATAATATTATTTGCTGTATACAATATAGTTGGGAAAAGAGGGCTGTAGGAAATTCATTAAATTATTCATGTTATCAGTGGAAGTGGGATATCCACTGGTGGAAGTGGGGGATCCCTTTCCCCACTAGGTGCTGGGGGTCGGATTCTTATGAGATCTTGAGAAACAGAATTTTTAAGACTTGCATGAGAGAATGAATGCTTTTTATTTGCATGGAATTACGTTCCTTGGTTTCTAAAGTCCCAGTTCCCTTAAACCAGTCCTGGAAGAGGTGCAGCTGGGGATTCAGCAGAGCTAGAAGCAGAGCCAGTGTCCAGAGTTTCTGTTCCATGTTGAAAGTGGGTCTGGTGTAGCATTAGTCATAGTCCTTTAGCCCATTATGTGGGTGAATGCAAGGGAGTGTGTCCCCTGCAACAAGAGAACCAAGAGGTTGGGCAGGCAAGACAGGGAACTCCTTTGGTCAGGTGCTTAAATATCTCAAATCTTCCTGTCCTTGCAGTGGTCATGCCTACTCTGGGCAATGACCTGTTCCCAGGTGTGACTGACAGGCAGGTACATTAATTTCACTCAGACTTTACTGGGCGTGCATCTGTTCTTCCCTTTATTCCTTTCCCGTTATTAAAATAACTAGATTTATTACAACAGTATCATTAACACCAACATTTGAGTGGCTTTAGAATTGTTTCACTTTGGAGATTCATTCTTTTCCTCCTTCTACTCCCAACATCACACAGAAGACAGAAAGGGAGGTGGAGACATGTAACATTCACTCTCGATAATTTTCGCATATTGCCATCTAGCAATACATGTCTAGAACTTACAAGGGCTTTCCAGAAAAACCTTGGATTTTCTAAAAATAGCCAAAACATATGCCTATCTTCACATATCAAACACTAAAGAGCTATTGCAGCACTGATACAGGCAACTTAAAAAGATGTGTTCTCAAGAGTTGAGTTCTGTGACCATGTCAAAGAATAAAAAGCAAGTATTCACATACTTTTCCTCTTATCCATCCTTTTAAAAATTTCTCTTATCCTTCTTTTAAATGTTATTTCTTGCAACTAGGTAATAGTTCCATTCAATCTTTCTTATAATAACAGAATATTCTTTCCAAACTTTTAATGTGCTTTAGATATGCTTGGTTCAGCAGAAAATATTACCTCTTGTCTTTTGGTATTATAATCCTTTTGTCTTTATTGAAAGAGCTAGCAGCAAAACAAAAGTCTTTGTGAGCACTTTGTGATGACTATATATTCCATCCTTCGCTTAAGTATTCATCCTTTTTTTAAAAAAAATTTTTTTCCATCCCTTTACATTTATTTATTTATTTATTTATTTACTTATTTATTTACTTACTTATTTATTTTGGTTTATCTTCACCCGAGGATATTTTTCCATTGATTTTTAGATAGAGTCGAAGGGAAGGAGGAAGAGAGAGAGAGGGAGAAACATTGATGTAAGAGAGGCACGTTGATTGGTTGCCTCCCTCATAACCTCTACTGGGGCTGGGGATTGGACCTGCAACCCAGGTTTGACGAGGAATCAAACTCACAAACCTTTAGTCCGAGGGTCGGGTCGATGTTCTAACTGCTGGCCAGGGAAGTATACATCCTTTGTTATTGAGAATTAGTTTTCTAGAATAAAAGGAAGTCATATGTTTATCAAAAAGCATTAATGCAGACAGCCGTGAGAATGAGACAAGAGAGAAAACCCCAAAGATTACATATTGGCCTCTGAATAATCTCATAATCTAGAACCTCGATCAATCTTTGTAGTTCTTTGAGGGACCTGCTTTGTCTCTGAAGTATAATAACAATCTAAGAGAGTGGGGAAAAAAAGCAAATAGATAAGGGGAAATTGGAGTAACAGTTGAGACAGCTATTCACCTCTCTCTCTTCTCCTTAGTTTTATTGTTGTGGAAGGAGTAGAGACTTTGGAGCCAGATAAATCCAAGTTTGAATCTCAGTCATCAGTACATGTAGTTGTATGGCATCAGGCGATTTCTTAGCCTCTGAGTCTCATTGTAGACACTGCTACTTTTCCAAGCAAGTTGTCAGGTTCACAAATGTTAACCAACAGATGTTAACATAAGTTTGGAGCCTACAAATGGAACAAAAAAATGCAGCTTTTATTAATGGTAGCTTATTATGAATGGTCACCACTTCTTCATCTGTTCAAACATTGATTTGTTGTTCCACTTATTTACGCATTCATTGGCTGATTCTTGATGTGCCTTGACTGGGGATTGAACCTGCAACCTTGGTGCATTTTGGGATAATGCTCTAACCTACTGAGCCACTGGGCCAGGGCCATCTGTTCAACTTTCCACAAATATTTATTGATCACCTCTTTGTGGTAGAAATACAGTGAAGTCCCAGGAATACAGTAAACAAACAGATAAAGTCTCTGTCTTCAACAGGTTTATTATGCAGCCTTTGAATACCCACAGTAAAAAAAAAGTCTGCCCACCCCATTTCACTGAAATTCCTCTGGCAAAGATACCATTGTCTTACTAATCAAATACAATGGGCTATTTTGTGGTTCTCAAGAAAACCTTATCGTAGCATCTAATGATAATGAGTAATTATCGTCTTGATGTCTAGAATACTCCTCTCTCTTTCCTGATTTCCTAAATCCTCGGATTGAAACTTTTCACTCTCCATTGTTAGTTTTTCTTCTTCAATTATCCCTTTAACTAATATTTCCTAGTGTTCTGACTTTTACCCTTTTTCTTTTATACTCTACACGACGAGACCTTTGTTCCTATCTTCTTGAAGGAAAGATTTCAATCAAGAGACAAAGTGCAGAAAAGCAAGCAAGAATTTACTGACCGCAGCCAAAACACACATAGGACAGTGAAACACGGAAGGGCATAGAAGAAGCAACAGGAGAGCCTGGGCTGGGCTGCCTTGGCTCACTGGGGAATCAGAGAAAAGGGGACTTTGGAGACAGGTTCAGGGGTTAGCCCAGGATGAGCTGCCACTGCCCACTGCTCTCCTGGTTGCAAGTCTCATGGGGTCCCATAGAGTTTAGGGCATACATGCCTTGTGGTGACAGGAGAGAGGAAAGGGAATGGCATGGGTGAGCTCCCTGGGGGGAGAGTACGCTGAGACCTTCGTTTTCAGGGGTTTTAAAGGTTTGGCGATTAAGGGAGATCTTAGGGGAGGATCAATAGAATATTCATCAGCTTGATGATGATGTACCAAAATGAGATTTACTCTCTTAATTTGTATGTCCTTGGTTGTGGTTGGCAAATGGCACTAAATAGATTTCTGTTGCCGCTTTGAGTAGGGTGATTTAAGCTATTTACCCTATGATTGGAGAGAAGTGCAAATCATTTACTTTTTTTTTCCAGAGAGAGTAGAAGGGAGGAAAGGAGGTTGAGAGAGAGAGAGAGACATCGATGCAAAAGAGACACATTGATTGATTGGTTGCCTCCCACACAACCCCAACGGGGGCTAGGACCAAACCTGCAAACCAGGTATGTGCCCTGGACCGGGAATCGAACCCTCGACTCTTTGGTCAGCAGCAGGCCAATGCTCTTATTATGGAGCCAAACCAGCCAGATCAAATCATTTACTCTTAAGTGTCCTTGGTTTAAGGAAGGTAGGATTTACTAGGTTGCTGCAAACTGCTGTTTAACAATCTGTCTTAGTTTCCTTATTCTGCTTGTCCTGGTATTTTCCTAGCTTTTTACTATCCTTTAACACTAGTGATTCTTGATGTTTTCAGTGACAAATTCCTTTAAGAATCTGAAGAATCCCTGGCTGGTGGCTCAGTTGGTTGGAGCATCATCCTATGCACCAAAAGGTTGTGGGTGCAATTCCCCATCAGGGCACATACCTAGGTTGTAGGTTCGATCCTGGGTCAAGGGGTGTATGGGAAGCAACCTATTGATGTTTCTCTCTCACCTCTATCCCCCCTCTCTAAAATCAATTTTAAAAAAAAAATCCTTGGGGGAGGATTTAAAAAAATAATCTTTGGAAACCTATGCACTCTCTCCCTAGGAGGGAAAATGGATCTACTTACAAATATACAAAAATTTGCACATATTTTTAAAAATTTCACTGGCCTTCTTCCCTTCCCATAAAACCCATTGTTGAACTCTTTGGCTTTAACTATTAGCTATATGTCAGTGACCCTCAAATCTGTCTTCCACATAAAGCACTTTCCTGAGCAATGGGACTATTTTCAAATGACTTATTGACAACCCCAAATAAATGCCCCTTAGGCACCTTAAAAATCAAGACATATCAAATCAAACTCAATTTCTTTCTCCTAAAACCTGTTCCACTACTAAGAGAAAGAACCTATGGGAAAAAACCAAAAACAAAACAAATAAAGAAACAAAAAAGACCACACTTTTTAAACCTAATAGACCTAGATTTAAATCCAGCCCTGAAAACTTCAATAATATATTTAACCTCTTTGTGTTTTAATTTCTTTTCTTTTTTTAAAAAATTCTCACCCACAGACATTTTTGCATTTATCTGCAGATAGAGCAGGAGGGAGAGAGGGAGGAAGAGAGAGAGAGAAACATCGATGTGAGAGAGACACATCAACTGGTTGCCACCCACATGACCCCAACCGGGGCAGGGACAAACTGCAACAGAGGTATGTGCCCTTAGCGGGAACCAAACCTGGGACTCTCTGGTCTGCAGGCCAACGCTGTAATCTCTAAGCCAATCCAGCCAGGGCATGTTTTAATTTCTTATATTTAACATGAGGATAATAATACTATCATTTTCTGAATTAGTATGAAAATTAAAATAGATAATAGGAAAATCCCTATCCAAGTGTCACCAAGTAGCATACATTCCGCAAATACTAATATTACTGGATTCCCAATCTCAGCAAAAGCAACTCCATTAAAAAATTATCTTAAATCCAAAATTTGGAATCCTCTTCAACTTGTCCCCTTTTTCTCAGCTGCAACCAATGGATAGCTATGCAGTGTTGATTCCTCAGAGTTCTCCTGACCTTAGTTCAGGCTCTCATGTTCTTTCTCATGGACACAGCAGTAGTCTCCTATCCTGTTGATCCAATTCCTATCCCACACCCTTCCAACCTACCCTGTGAAGCCAGAGGATCTTCCCAAGACACAAATCTGATAATGCCATGACTCTACTTAAATCTGCCCAGCTGCTTCTAGTTGCTTCTAGGATTACGCCTACCTAAGTATTGCACTGAAGGTTGACTATGATCTGACCCTGTCAACCTCCAACTTAATCTCTTGATTACTTGTGGGTCTCCCAAACTGCTCATAGTGTTTTGGATTCCATATGTCTGTTCACCCTGCTTCCTTTGCCTGAAATGTCCTCACCCATCTACATCTTTTCCTGGCATTCAGGGCAATACCTACTCATGTTTCAAATCACAGTTCAAACATCATCTCTGCCTTCTATGAAGTTATTCCTGACAGCCTCCTGCCATACTGTTGCTCACTGGCTCGTTTAATCTTCCACCTGCACTTGATGGATGATTTACTATCATGGCAAATATTAATTCACATGGTTCCCGATCTCAAAAAGCTTACAATCATCATTGAACCAGAAATCTTGTTATATAACCTGGACAAGTAAGCCAAACAAAAGAAAAATCATGAAGCGTGAAAAAATATTGAATTGTAAGTAACTTCCACATGGAGATCAGTGGTTCTTCTTAGAAGCCCTATGTGACTCCCAAGCTCTAGGCTGGCGTTACGTAAGTATTAGCTATATATGAACTGATTTCATTTTCACAGACGTCATGGGGCCGGGAAACATAGACTCTTGGGCTGTATAAAGCCATGAAATCAATACCAGCTAACATCACACACCTCATCAAATTAGCCTGACCAAATATAACAGGCCAATTTTTTTAATCCTTACCTGAGGCTATTTTTCCATTCATTTTCAGACAGAGTGGGAAGAAGAGAGACAGAAATATTGATGTGAGAGACACACATTGACTGGCTGCCTCCTGCACGACCCCGACCAGGGCTAGGGACCGAACTGCAACCGAGGTACGTGTCCTTGACCAGAACTGAACCCGCCACTCCTTGGTCTGAGGGCCAACACTCTAACCACTGAGCCAAACTGGCCAGGGCAACAGACTAATTTTTAAGTTGATAATTTTGTATGGCCCCAATGAAAGGTTCCCCACCTCTGGGAGGTGGGCACTATTATTATTCCTGTTTTAGAAGTAAGAAAACCAAAAGCATAAAGAGACTAAGTAACTTGTCCAATATGACCCAACTAGAAATATCAGTATGAATAAAGTATAAGCTTCAGTTAATTAAAACAAAAAAGTTGATAAATAAAAATTATATACAATTTTAAATAAGTTCTTTTATATATAAATATATAGCTATATTACACACACGCACATTTATATGTGTGTTAAGGGCTGGTACACAAAGAAAAATGTAAGTGCCCTATGCTCGAAACCAGTAAGTCATGAATAATAAACTAAGATACAAAGAACATAAGACTGTATTTCTTGGGGTGAGGAGAATCCATGAAATGGATCAATAAGTTAATGAACAAAATTAAATGACCCCTGAACCCTGGTCAGGTGCCTATGTACCTTTCTCCAAAGTCCCTCTCCCCTCGCCTTTTCTCCTCCCACATGGTTGGCTCGGGACCATCCAATGGAAGGCCGGCTCTGCGTACCCTACTGTGCGCGTGCGCAGCGTCGTGTTGACGCTTCTTTCCATCGATGTGCTCGGAAGCAACTCCTTCGGTCTAGTCATTGCCAGCGTTGGCGCCGCGCCCGCTGCGCTGGCAGCCGCCATCTTCACGGCGGGCAGAGTCGGGTCTGCGACTGCTGGAGGCGGTGGTGGTGACGGGTATGGATGGTTTCCGCCCGCGGTAGCCCCTCCAAATGCGCCTTTTCTCGGGCCACAGCTCTCGGTATTGCCCCTGTTCCCGCAGGGCCATGTCTCTGTCCCCAGTCGCCCTGCCACTCTGGCTTCAGACTCTTTTTCGCTCCCTCACTCTTCCGCTCGACTCGAACCTTTGTCTGGAGCTGTTGTCGGCAGCCCTGACCGCCTGTGTTCGACAGCGGCGCCGACCCTCGGGACTCCCCACTGCTGCCGGCCGCCCGAGGGTTTCC